ACACACACACAGCTCAATTCCAGGACAGCCAGCAAAATAAGATGTCTTATGTGTTTTTAATTGGGCAGATTTGTCACTTAAGAGCAGCTAGGAAGCAGAACATATGGAGCGCATTATGTGCGTTTACCACTGAGGATTAACAGGCCCTGATGGCGGTCTCTGGCCCTGGCCTCGGCTGAGGAGAACTGGGCTGGGGAGCCCAGTGCCAGGGCCCGTGCTGCCAGGGTGTGATGAATCAGAGCCCAGGTGGTGGTACTGACTGGCACAGGAAAGCTGACACACAACTGTCCTGAGAACAGGAGAATTTGCAGTTCTAAATCCACAGAAAGCCTCTCTTCAAACAGCTACAATAAACAAAAACAAAATTGTGTGCAGCTGTCTTCCATGCTTCTGCTTAGCTGCAGTGGAATGTGTAACAATGCTCTTGGTTAAATATTTGGTATCAGTTTCCCCAGCAGTAGCTCTTTGGAAACTATTTATTGAGCTGGGATAGTATAGGATGGTTTTAACAGTTGCTTACTCATTTTCCATAGTCCATTTTCTGTCATGTATTCTGTGTCGTAGCTTATTAATCAGAATGTGAGAGGCTCTTAAAACTGGTCTCGGACATTTATGATCTTGGCATCCCACAAACAAAAAGCAGAACAGACACACACAGATGCAATAAATGGAGTTTATAACACAAGTTTATGAGGAAGGTTACTGTTTATCCTGATTTTGCACACTTCCGCTCTCGTTTATACAAGTCTCACCCACTTCTTTCCTCCACACATCTTTATTGCATCCCTTCTGCCACTTTATCTACACCCTTGCAGCAGCTCCCTAGCTCATTCCTCACAATAGTGAGTGGTGTTTGGACAGCCTGTCCTCTCAGCTAGGTTGCCGTTCCCTAGGCTACAGTTGTAAGAAAGAGTTTGTGAACCCTTAGGAACTATATGGATTTCTGCATGAATAGTTCCTAAAATCTGATCTGATCTTCATCTAAGTCATAATAATAAATAAAGACAGTCTTATTTAACAGACAACACACACAGCATTTTACACTGTCATATCTTAATAGAACAAATGGTTTAAACAATCAAGGACATTGATGGAAATGTATGCGAACCCTTATATTTAGTAACTAGTGGAACCTTTTATTGGCAATAACCTCAACCAAACGCTTTCTGTAGCTGTATAATAATCTGGAGTTATTGTTTCCCATTCCCCTACACAAAACTGTTTCAGTTCATGTGTATCTTCGGGATGTCTTGTTTGAACGGCCTGCTTCAGATCACGCCAAAGCATTTCAATTGGATTGAGGTCAGGACTCTGACTTGGCCATTCTAAAATATGGAATTTCTTCTGTTTGAGGCACTCTGTTGTTGATTTACGCCTGTGTTTTGGATCATCGTCATGGAGGCCCAAGTCTTTAGAAATCCTTTTGTAACCCTTTCCAGT